TGTTGACAAAATGTTACTATAGCCCACATGGGTGACACAGTTCTGCTTGTTTGTGACTTTTCCACAGCTCATCATTCCATCTTTTCGAGGAACCTTTGCTCTTCCCCCTTTTTTACTCACCTGCTCTGCTGTAAAGTCCCACTTGTCTAGCTCCTCTAGCCTTGCCCTGGACTTGACTGCAGGATCCAGAGTAGTGGGCATGCAACATGGACACACAGTGCGTTTCCTGGTCCGTCCTATTCTCCTTGTGTTTCTGCTGAGATCCAACCAAGTCTGAGTCTGAAGATGAGCATCTGCATACTGTGATTGTGAGATACTGCCTTCATTTGTGGTAGGGACATCCTCACCACCTGGTTCCAAACAATCTGTCTCTTGCTTACTTTTACAGTCACATGATGCTCTGTTGTGTGAACTTTGACCTGAAAAGAACTTCTGTTTCCAAGGAAAAGGAGGAGGTTTCTGGTCCAGTTTGACATGAGAACATTTGAGAGCTCCAACACCTGTGTCAGGTGATGGTGGTAATTCCTTTCCAGTTTGTACTTTTACTCTCGGGATATCAGTATGACCACTGTTCATATTGGTTTCTTGTGAACTGCCACCTTCATATCGAAAAACATCTACCACTGGTTCCTCATTATCCTCCACTGACTTAATGGAGTCTATGTGCAGCGAATTTACAGGGACAGACTCAACTGATGGTTCATCAACCCTCTGAAGGCAAAGTTTAAGTTCAGCTGTTATCCCGAATATCTGCCTCAGCAGGTGGTCAGACAATTTGCGGGGCTTTGGTGCCACTGACTCAGGATTTGTAGAGCTGTCGCTCTCTGTTTCACAGCTGCTGCTGGCCTCTGTTGGACTTTCTGTTTTTGCATCAAGCTCTACGTCTTGCAGCTGCTGGGCAGAGGTGCTGTGAAGCACGTCTGAGCCACAAACACACGTTTCATTTCTATCTGACGTGTCCTGGCCGGCTTTTGCTCCTCTCAAAGCCATGTTTGAAGTTGTGCAGCGTGGTGAGCAGGACTCTAGCTTGGGTGGAATATATGATACAAATATGACATTGTCTTCATCCAGATGAGAGACCGCAGGCACGTTAACTGCTTGTTGAGGTGACTCATCATCGTCACATAGATCAATCACCTCATCTGACTCCCTTTGCATTCTAACATCTCGACTTGTTACAGCTGACTGAAGAAACTGTTGTAAAGAAGAAGATGGTGGAAGAATGCTTTTGCTGAGTTCAGACGCTTTAGTTGTTGTTGTGGTCTTAGATAGCTGGGTGCACCGTTTAGCTACAAAGAACACCTTGCCATTGCACATGACCAAAGCATTTTCTTGCCCTTGTGCACCATTGTCCTGACTCAGCTGAGAGGCTGTTTTTCTGAAGGTGCTGAGCTGTGTGGAAGAATTTTCTCTCTGTGCGATTGCTTGAAGAATCTCTGAAGTTACAGACGGACAGTTAAGAGGTTTTATATTTGGACCTGATGAACAATCCACTTCTTCTATCACCCAGCGTGTGGGGCTGTCGGGCCTTTGTGAAACCTTTGGAATCAGTTTTAACTGTTGTGTTCTTTGCTTTGGGTGAAATCCATAAGAAGTCAGTGTTGATGCATTGGAAAACATTCGGACTGAGTGTGGAGCGGTGTCCGTTGGCAGAGTCCCGCCTTGATTTATAGTGGTGACAGGAGTAACATACACTACACTGGGTAATGCTGACCCCGAGGAGGAGCTGGCAGAAGAAGTAAAAATCTGTTTCTGGATAGCTGCAGGGAGTCTGCATGCTGGAACGGTCTGGACTTGTGCATTGGGGGGAATCTGAAGATACTGTCCTCTCGGGAGTGCAGGAGATTTCACAGTAACTGGGAGCGGATTAAAAAGTTTTACTGGCATTCCAGATTTTTCTTTAAAAGTTGCCACTGACGGAACTTCAGCCATTAAATTACCAGTCTGCTGCTGCAGCGAATGGTTGTTGACTGAATGTACATGGTTGGACAAGACATTCATAACTGAAACCTGCTTCCTGATTATTTGCTGAGAGACAGAAGAACTCAAAGCTGTATCTGTGACCATGTTCACAGGTGCTGAGTTGATATTTATGGTAACAGCTTCCTGGGAAATTGGGTCCCTTTTAGTGTTACTTGTCTGTGGTTGGAAAAACTGTCTGTTCACCATTTGGACAGGAATCAGTTTCATGATGTTCTTTCCATCAGCTCCAATTGCAGGCATTGCCTGGTAGAAGACACCTCGGCCACTGAGAGAACGGAAGGAAGAACGGAATTAACACAAATATAAATATATGAATTTTATACAGTTATGACTTTATTATGTTGAACTCTAACACCTCCAAACAGTACAGATCTAAACCTTTACCAGAGTGGCAGAGAGTCCACATATCTGATTTCCTTTGTTGAATTTGTGATAGTTGCCTGCATTTCTAAGCCAATATTAGTTATATTACTCGCTCTTGTTGCTCAGAGTGGATGGAAGGCTTTAAGCAGGCACTCGGGAGCATACGTAGGTGTCACATGCATTTAAGAAGAAATTCATCCCCACTCTTTTACAAAGAAGTTATTCCACCAGCATAATTAGAGGCAACAGAGTATCTGATGCTGTATTTTTTTTTTTTTTCTATTGGAAAAATAAAATGAGGTACGTCATTATCGTACTATTTTTACTGTTTTCCCAAAATTCTTAATTTTTGCTTTACTCCTAATAACTGGGAAGAGCTGTTTTACTGCAATGGGAGATCAATTATATTTCTTTTAATAATCAAGGGGTAACACTTTATAACATGACCCGCGAATAAGGCGCAAGTACCCAGTACTTAGGTGTCATTTGCAGGTAACAAGTTATTGTATGTTATTTTATTATTGTTTCCTGTACAAAACGTGTTACACGGAAATACAGGATACTTGCGGTCTAACAATGTAATTATTTTATAGTTTCCTGCAAAAACCTGACTCGGTACACGAAACTGCATGTAAGTACAGGGTACTTGTGCCTTAATCGCGGTTACCATCAAGGGTACATTACAACTGACAAGGTGTGCAGTACACAAAGGTACAAATATTTAAATACTGTTTCAAACAAGTTAATAAGAACTTTAAAACTTTAATGTGGGACTATATGAATGACAGAGATCGATCTCATATTTTGTAAGATTAGCTCATTGCAATTAATAATAATGATTAGAATATTTATACTTAGTATTAATATATTTAGTATCTAATCCCATCTAACAGCAAACTGAGCCAGCCTATGATTTCTTATTCGGACCCATCATTAGTGTTGTCATGACTCCCGTTATGTTTAAAAGAACAAATCATCAATGTGGGACTGGGAAGCATTGAGCCATCAAACCGCAGTACCTGTAAATCGTATCCATCTGTCCTCTGGTGAAAAGACGAACGCTGGAATGTAATTTTTAGCTGCCGTAACGAAAAATGACTAAATTAAATACATAATTATTGGTGTGAGCTCCGTTTACACGATAGCTATAAGTTACTGGTAACGTCCAAACACCATCGTAGCCTCAGCGCTTGAAAGCTAGCCTTGGTCCAAATGTGTATTCGCCGCTATTAACCTCCGAATACTCTCGTTTAATTGCCATTAAAAATGTTTTGACTGCACATTTTTCTCCCTGGTGCCTTTCATCAATAGATGTAATAAGTTGGAATCTCGTTTCCATCATTTCAGCCCTTCTGTCACATTATTTCCGGTTTGTTACGAGGTTGTGTTCAACGTAGCAAGCAGTTTTTAAGTTTGTGTTGATTGTGTTTGTTTGTTTTAATCGCAGACTCTGACTTTAGGTTGAATATAGTGGTGCTCTGTCGTGTTTTAGCAGGGTTTATTATTCTTATTATTTACTATTATTTATTTTTCACGCAACACAAGACGAGTTAAATATTGCTAGCCTTTGTGGCTTTTGAACTGTCCCTTTTTACCAACTTCCGCTTGGCCACTTCCGGTTCCGTTTTGTGATACGCATATTTATTTATATATTTTCTTATATATTTAGTGTGTCTGATATTTAGATAACCTGTCATGAAGAGGTTGAGGTGGATATGGGCTCTGTCTCCTTTAAACATGACACCCAATGTTGTTAGTGGGTTTTGGGATTGGTGTTAATTCATTTTGCAGTGTTCATTTTGGTAAACCATATCACCCCATGACAAATTTATAAATACACTGACACAAGTAGTGGGAAAAATAGACAAGGAAATCTAAAAAGGGAGGAACACAGGGTGCTCCAGCAACATAGAGTAGAAAATCAAAGTTATGATGCAGGACAGCCAGATCAAGCTTGAACTTCACTGCTTAAAAAAAAAAAAAAGAAAAGGAAAGAAACTCCTAAATCAATGTCGGATCTTTATGAGTAAAATATTCAGCTGTTTTTGCTGATGTCAGTCAGCATTGTTAATATGGAAATCTAGTGAACTATATTCGTGTTTTTGTGTCATCGTGAAGTTATATAACAATTTTTAAAAATGCTGTTCTAAAGAGCCCTTAAGTAAAAAGCTTGTGACCCCCAGTGACTAACATTTTGCTTTAAAGTTTGGAGATGATCTAATGGAAACTAACGCTTATCCTAATTGACCTGTTTCTTTACATTTTGTTTTTTAAGATCAACTTTGACCTTGGGAACTAATGATGAAGATCAAGGTCAAATGCCAACCTAGGTACTCATGTGCCCCAAAGCCTAGTATATTGTTGTTGTTGGAAAACAATTCATAAAAATTATGAAGAACAACATTTTTACAGATTTTCACATTTGGTTGACATTGACCTGAGTCAAACCAGCCCCACCTGTTACTGGTATCTACCTTCACACAAAATCGAAAAATGAACAGTGGATGCTAGACTGCTAACAGATAGACAGACAAAGGTTAGATTCTAATAATTATTTGTTAATTAGAAACATATCCGCTTTCTAGGAACATTGGCTCATCATCTGTCATTTGTTTCCATTCCATTTCAACTAGTAATAATAATGATAACTCAGCTGAATGAAAGCATCTGCATCAGCAGCTTTATTATTTCAGTATACAATTTATTTCCTGACATGGAAGTGTATAGATCACATAGAACAGTAGTAAAATAACATTTTAAAAGGCCTGAAGGTTCCAGTTTAAAATCCACATTTTCTGTAAAAATATGAGCATATAGACAGATATGTTTTTAAGTCTTAGCCCTGTGAAAGATTAGTGACCTGTCCTAGGCTTACCCTCCCTCTCCTGTGACCGCTGGGATTGGATGAGAGGAAGAAAATTGGATGGATGGATGGATGTACTACCAGCTGTTGTACATTTGTGGAGTGCTTTGTGGGAAATTCAGTAAATTATGAGGTGTAAATACCAAGTGTGAAGCACAGGTTTTGCACAGGGGAGTTAAATACAAATCTCATCCACATTTTTGCAAAACTTCAACTGTGGTGAAAAATTATCTTCATCAAAATTATTCAGCTGAAATGTTCCTGATGCAAATAAGGGCAAAGTTAGTGACGCCCCTTGAGCCTGTGATGTATTGTTGCTGCACTGCTGTGACTGTGACATCACTGGTGATAGCTGCTGTACAGCTACTGAAAAAAAAACATTGTTGGACCGAAGAAAGCAAAATTAACTTGTACCAGAATTATGGGAACCGCTTATGATCTGAAGCATTACAGATCACCTGCGCGAGCTGCCATTGGAACTGGGTCACTACTCTACCCAGATTCAGTCAAATGAACCATTTATTTACTTTCAAACATTGAATTAAAGCTGAAGGTCGTCAATGAAACATGATTGATTGATTGGAAATATATATCTCAAGGTTAATGTGTTCTTTTTTTTTTTTTATTCCCACCCTTAGCATCTGGTATTTTAGAAACCCCTTCAAAGGTAAAATTTTAACTGAAACCTGGATGAATGCACAAAGAATCAGACAATTTTGCTTTATAATTTGATTATTCGTGATTCGAAGTAATGCACAAGTTCAATCCCTGACATGAATCCCTTTATCATTCATGTCAGAATCTTCAGTCCTTGTTTTCCAGCAAGTCATCCAGAATGCGCTCACACATGTACAGGCAACGAGGCACGTGGAAGAACCCTGAGGAACAGACGAAACAGCTACTTTACCATCATGGTAAAACAGAAAAGTATTTCACAATAAAATGATTGTTGGGATTTTAAAACAATTGATGCAGCTAAAACACAGAAGAAAGACTCTTTCATGCTGATAGATGACAAATGAAAAAAAAAAAACTTGTTTGGTTTGGTTTCCATGTGCTACTAGGCCAGCTTCAGTGCTGCTTGGCATTAATTTTCCAAGTTTCTAGAACTCTGTTGGAGGAATTGGTACTAATCTTTCAAGGTATTTCATCTGATGATTTGTGGAGACCAAACATCTTAGTCCAGTATCTCTCAAAGCATTCAGCTGGGTTGAGGTCTAAGGTCTGAATGGTTTGATAAGTATGAAAATAATGCAATTTGTATGCAATGGCTTTCACAGGGAGCATGGAGAAGCGCAGCATCAAGGTGATGATTCAGAACAACCTTGTGTTCATTTATAGTGGTCCTTTCCTCTAAAGAGATCATTGGAACCAAACCATCCATTCTCTTCTGCTTATCCAATTCAGGTTTGCAGTGCGAGAGGCGGGTTACACCCTGGACAGGTTGCTAGTCTGTCGCACTAACTGCATGTTTTTGGACCGTGGGAGGAAGTCAGAGTACCTGGAGAGAACCCACGCAAACATGGGGAGAACATGCAAAGGCCACACAGAAAGACCCCGGCCTGATGGTGGAATTAAACTCAGGACCTTGTTGCTGTGAGGCAACAGTGCTAACCACTATTCCACTGTGCTGCCTTTGGAATCAAATCATTGTACAGGGTGGGCCATTTATATGGATACATCGTAATAACATGGGAGTGGTTGGTGATATTAAAATCCTGTTTGTGGCACATTAGTATATGTGAGGGGGCAAACTCCTCAAGATGGGTGGTGACCATGGTGGCCATTTATAAGTCGGCCATCTTGGATACAACTTTTGTTTTTTCAATAGGAAGAGGGCCATATGTGACACAAAACAATGGTGTGCTTGGTTTCAACGTAACTTTATTCTTTCATGAGTTATTTACAAGTTTCTCTTTGTTCACAGCCATTGACATGTCGAAGAGGTTAACACGTGAGGAGCAGATCGAAATTGTGTTGATATCTGGTGAACGCAGTAACCGGGTCATTGCAGCAGATTTCAATGCAAGACACCCTACGAGACCACCCATCTCCCATGCTACAGTTAGCAAACTGCTTGCTAAGTTTCTGTGAAACTGGTTCAGTGTTGGATTTGCCAAAATGTGGACGCAAGAAAACTGTCACTAATGAAGAAACATCAGTGGCTGTCCTAGCTTCATTCAGCAAGAGCCCACAGCGTAGCACTCGCCGCATGTCACTGGAGAGTGGCATTAGTCGAACATCCCTTCGGCGGATATTAGCTACTCACAAATGGCACCCTTACAAACTCCAGCTACTGCAGCATCTCAACGAGGATGACCCAGATCGGTCGCACAGAATTTGCAGAATGGGCAAAACAAAAATTGGAACAGGACCCTCAGTTCACGCAGAAGATTTTGTTCAGTGATGAGGCAAACTTTTATGTGAATGGTGAAGTTAACAAACAAAACCACCGCTATTGGTCTGACACTAACCCACATTGGATGGATCCCTCCAAGACTGTTGGAACAACAAAAGTGATGGTTTGGTGTGGTATATGGGGTACAACGATAGTGGGTCCATTCTTCATCAATGGAAACCTCAAGGCCACTGGATATTTGAAATTGCTACATGATGATGTGTTTCCCTCTTTATGCACTGAAGCTGGCACGTTCCCTGAGTTTTTCCAGCAAGATGGTGCACCACCACATTATGGGTGCCAGGTCCGAGCATTCCTAGATGAACAGTTTCCTGGAAAGTGGATTGGTCGTTGTGGGCCAGTTGAATGGCCCCCAAGGTCTCCCGATCTGACCCCCTTAGACTTTTATCTTTGGGGTCATCTGAAGGCAATTGTCTATGGTGTGAAGAGACGAGATGTGCAGCACCTGAAACTACAGATACTGGATGCCTGTGCTGGCATTTCTCCTGCATTGACAATCCAACACAATGGGCAGCACATTGAACACATTTTATAAGTGGTCAGAAACTTGTAAATAACTCATGAAAGAATAAAGTTACGTTGAAACCAAGCACACCATTGTTTTTCTTGTGACATTACCAATAAGTTTGATGTGTCACATGGCCCTCTTCCTATTGAAAAAACAAAAGTTGTATCCAAGATGGCCGACTTCTAAATGGCCACCATGGTCACCACCCATCTTGAGGAGTTTGCCCCCTCACATATACTAATGTGCCACAAACAGGACTTTAATATCACCAACCATTCCCATGTTATTACGGTATATCCATATAAATGGCCCACCCTGTAGAAATGCCACTCATTTCATAGCAGAAACAATGGATCCCATAACTACTAGGGACAAAATTCAGTTTTTTCCTCGTGTTTGTCATGCCGTGCGGTAATGGCTGCAAGCAGATGCTGATAAAAATTAATTTGGCTTCCATCACATAACTGTTATTGTCTCACAGCTTACCCAGAGACAGTCAGAATTAATAGACATGCCCAGCACCATCATTACATCCGTGTCAAATTATTAAACATTACAGAAATATGTGTTCCACTTTATACATTCTCCCTCATTTTTTTACAACCTGGGGCCTAAAATACGTAGCACTCAACATCTTCACTGAAATTTGAGTGCAGATCAAGGAGTGTTGTGCAGGTAACTAAAACATACAAAGCCCATTTTATAAGCTACTCTACATTCTCCTGTCATTTATTTCCCTCATTTTAGAACTTCCTGCTGTTGCTAGATTTTAACTATGCTCTTACCTTTAAAGGGACCGCCTTTAAAATCCAGTGCTACTTTCCCTTCTTGTGTCAAATAGCCAAACCACTCACCATTCTCAGCATCAGGAAACTAGAAACAGAAACACGCACAATCACCCAGCGTTACATTCTTTAAAGGTCTCTCTTTGAAGTAATCAACAACTGTCAAAGAGCCTTAAATTAGCCTTTTACACTTGAAAAGTCATAGTTCAGCACTATTTAAGCTGGGATATGGTTAGTTTAGTATTGCATAAAGACTGAAAGCAGGGAAAACAATATCTTGGAGTCAAATTAAAATGGATTTTAAAAATAAAACTTTGAGCAGCTGGAGACCTTAATAACCCTGGAATAATATTTGTTGGATCAGAATATGCTGAATGCAAACAAATATTTCCTAATAAACCTTCCATAACAAGGCGATCCGAGGTCAATTATTAATTGTAATCTGGTCTAATCTAATAATGAAATTTTCCATCAAAGTCAGAGAAAGATGTGAGGGACAGTTTTTTAAGGACAAAGGAAAAGAGAAGTTCAGTGTGCAGAGAATCAGACTGCACTCATACTAGACTCCATAATAATGTGACTTGTGTCTGCTGTGGTGAAACTACAGTGTCGAAAGATGAGCTAATTTGATACTTTGTGAAAAACAGGATAGTCATTTTAAATAAACAGGAGTACACATATAGCCTTTAAAGTAAAATGAAATGGTTATCACAGTGAGACGAGTTTCTGCTCATGTCCAATCACATTTTCTTTTCCTGCTGGTGAATCTGACCCTGTGTAACTCCTGGCATTTGTGAGGATTTCAGTAACTGGAGTCAAATGAAAAAACACAATAATCCTAAAGCCTGCAATTTAGAAATAGACAAAAAAAATGCAAACTGAATTATTATAAATGTAAATTCTTTTTAATATAACTTGTAATCTTCATTTATACAGTATTTATACATATCTCTCCATCTACAACATCAACATAACCTCGTCATAGCCAGTCAATCTTGTTTTCTACATTTTCTAACACTCTCTGTTTCAAGTAAGTTAAGCTCCGCCCAGCTAGGCTGTGGTTGGGGGGGTTGGGCTCCAGTTTCTCCATTCTTCATGCCTACTCTTCCTCATTTCATCACCTGCCTTACTTAAGGACAGAATCCAGCGTTCAGCTGCTGCCCGATTGTCAGTGTCGGGGAGTAACGGAATACATGTACCGCCATTACGTATTTAAAATACAAAATATGAGTAACTGTATTCCGTTACAGTTACCGTTTATAAGGGTGGTATTCAGAATACAGTTACTTTGTTGAAATAAAAGGATTACACGGCTCTTTTTCTGTTTCATATATTAGACTATGCTCTCTCTATTTTTGGGGGGTAATTCCACGCCGGTGGAAACCCAAACAAAACACGCATTAAGAGGCTCTAATGTCTGTGTCTCAATCTTGCGGCCCATGACACCTCTACTTGCGGACCGCAAAATGACGTGAAGAAATATTTTTGAAAAAAAATTCTCAAAAATTATTTAATAAGAGGGCAATAGGCAGAGTGTTACAGACATAGACCTAAAGAATGTAGCCTCATGGGCAGTGTAGTCCGTGCTGCAGGGAGAATGGACTGCCATACCCGTTATGTGTCTGTGAGCGAGGGAGGGAGAAAAAAAGAGTGGAAAAGTACGAGTTGTCACAGAGCAGAAACAGGAGATGGAAGCATGTAAATATAATAATAACCACTGCAGTCAAAAAGAGTGCCTGACGAGCCCAGTTGTAAGTAAGCTATTAAGACTCGACTGTACAATGTGTTCGTGTTTTTCTCTGAAACAATAAGTTCAGTTGGAGCAGCCTTTCAACGCCTCTCTCTGTCTCTTGCTAGCAAAGTTGACCCAGACAACAAAGTAAAGTAAAGCTAGATTTCGGCTACGAGCCTGACAGAGAACCTAACGTATTAGCCAGAGGTCCCTTTATGGTTTTACGCCTTTACGGTTCGGAGCCGCGGACCTGTTTTATATACATGCGGAATAGTTTTCTATACAAGATCGCTGCAAAAAGTGCAGCCTTACCTAATGTCCACCTACTATTACTCATTTTATATTAAGATTTAAAAATCTAGTTGGTATTGGTATGGAAAGTAACCTTCAGTAAAAGTAATAAATCACACAGCAATAGGACATTCATGTAGTTGTAAAAAAATTGATAATATATTAGTAATCCAAAGTATTCAGAATACGTTACTCTCATTGAGTAACGTAACGGAATACATTACAAAATACATTTTGGGGCATGTATTCTGTAATCTGTAGTGGAATACATTTTAAAAGTAACCTTCCCAACACTGCTGATTGTCATAGTACCTCGACTGGTAATGATTTAGAATCCTTTGCTTATTCCCTGAATTCATTTCATTACTTCCACTACAGTGGTGTTCCATAATGGCACCTCCTGTCTCTGAAACTGTTCGTGGGAGAGTTGGGTCAGTGCTGTAGAGTTCTGCTCCAGTGCTCCCTGGTCTTCACACACGTACCTCGCTCTTTTTTGGATGATCCTTCAAACTATTTGACCTTACTGGACTCCTCTGAGGTATGGCCTTGATCTAAGCAGAAGACTTCTTCCTGATCTTCATCTAAGCCTGCAGCCCTGCTGAGATCAACCAAACCCCAGGTCTTTGCAACCACCTCAAGGGTAAGTAAAAAAGAATTTTCTTCATGCTCACCCTGAGCCAGAAAAAAATAACTCTTAACTGCCTTGTTCCATGGCCTGAACTGCTACAACTCCACCATTTAGGTCAGCCCAACCACCCAGACTGTTTACTGTTTCGTTTGGACTACATGGCTTTTTGTGTGTTTTTAGGTTTAGTTCCACTAAAACTTTACTCAACAAAAAAAATCGTAGAGCCTTAAAGGTAAAAAGAGGAAGCTGCTGTTTCCTGCCTGCTTCCAGTCTTTAGACTAATCTCTGTAACATCAGGTAGTCGTTGATATTTCATATCAATAGGAAATTACTTATTTCTCAAAAATGTTAAATACTCAAAATATTTAATGACAAAAGCACACAGTACTCTTGCTATGACGTATGACCAGTGCCGTATCAACTCACATGGCTAAAAGTGTACTGGTAAACTTCTGAGAATATCTCCAGCAGCTCAGGCTTCCTGGTGTGACTGTAGGCCATGAGGAACGCGATGAGAGCCTCACAGTGTGGCCACCACAGCTTCATGCTCCACTCTAGCTGCTCAGACACAAAAGCAACATGGCTGATCATAAAGTGATGAATGCAAACTACTATTGAATGCAAATTGAAACAGAATTTTGTGTCTAATAAAAACATAATCATGTGTAGAGATGACAGGTTAACCTGTGTGGGGCAGTGACCATCCACATCCAGGAAGTAGAAGAGGCCACCGTGTTCTTTGTCCCAGCCATACTGATAAGGGAGCTCCACAAAGTTTCTGATGGCAGTTCTGTGTATTTCCTTGTCCCCGGACTGTGCACCGTACAGCATCAAGAACCAGCCTGCTTCCAAGGCATGGCCTGAGTCAGCACCAGTTATTAGTGGGAAGGACAAAAAAACATGGAAAATGATGAAGTGAGCAACTAAGGAGAGGACAAGAGTGTAATATCTGTTTCCACAGGGACGGACTTTGCTCGTCGCCATCTGGGTCAGCAGGCTGTGGAGCATTTACCTGGATTCTGCAGTCGGCCCTGGCAACCCGGCAGTTCAGATCCATCCACTGACACGTTCTCTAAGATAGCTGTGCCAGCTCTCTGCATTAAAAGATGCAGAAGATGAGAAGGAAAAATAACTGTATTTATGAATAGAAGGTACTTGATAAAATATACAACTGTGACAGAAAAAGCAGCAGAGTGTTGTCTGTGTCCAAACCTGGATGTGCTGTAGGATCTGCTCTACACACCAGTTTCCCAGTTCTTTGTACTTCTGAGCAACTTCCTGTCCACGGCCTTCGGTTAACTGTTGCACCAGGCACATGAGCATCATGGGAACTGACAAACTGTTGATGGGAACCTCCCCGGGAAGTTGGGGCCGGCCCAGGCCTGAAGGGTCTACCTGAACCCAGTAAATTAGCTGTTCCATCATCTGCTCAGCTTCCAGCTGAAACACATAAGAGGGGTGAGAGATAATGTTGTAGAAATGGTAACATAGCTATAACTCAAACTCAAACACTCTGCTTCTGAGGTGGGCATGTTTTTTATGCCAATTGTATGATCAGAATGAATGTCAGAAGAAAACTAAACTTAACAATCACAAAAAAATTAGTGTTTGGCAGATTATTTCTTTGTTGTAACAATGTTTGTTGGCATTAAATCTTCTACTGCCGGAAAGTCAGTTTATTTCCCCTTAATTAATTCAATAAATTCCACCTTTACAGCAGCTGTATATGGTCTGGTATAAAGATCAAAGATAGCTAGTGAAACGTCTGCTTACAGTCTGCTGAATTCAATTCTGTAAGATTCTGACAAAGAGCATCAGGTCAGCTGATCACACAAAGAAACTACTGCAGCTCAAAAACAAAATTCAACTCAATTCAATTTTATTTATATAGCGCCAAATCACAACATAAGTCGCCTCAAGGTGAGTTGTGATTCTTTTTCCTACACTGAGCTACTACAATTGATTTTGAGATTCCTCTGAATCCCACTTTAAGCCCTGACTGCACTGGTTTTCCTGTTTAGATTCAATTCAGTTCAATTCAATAAAACTTTATTGATCTCAAAGGTTGACCCAGAAGGAAATTTGGGTAATCGGTGTGTGGAGTTAATGTCACCCTCTATAATGTAGGCAATAGAACAGTTGTTTTGGAAAATTCTCTTCCACTGATTAAAACTAAATACATTTATTAGAAGTTGTATTTAGATTTGAATAACATTTGTATTGTCATGTACTAATAGTGTTTTATTATCACAACAACATGGGTTGAGTTCACTTTGCATAGTAGCTTGTAGCAGAATTGTCCTTCAAAGAGCTACTTTTTAGGTTTTTATGTTTCAGAGCCTGATCTTTTTGACTTTTTACTTGATCCTTTACTGCATTTCTTTAACACAAGAAAAGGCACCCATGAAAAAAATGCCAAATACTAGTGTAATTAAATAAAAGGGTTTTTTTTCGCATAGAATTTTTGGAAGACTTCTTTCCACTGCACTGATCAATAATAACTAGGAACAGAAATGTCAATAGGCTTAAGATAAGACAACTAAGAGAGGTGGCAAACATATGGTATAACTAAAGAAGATTACACTAACAGTTACATATACCTGCATATCCTTGTCACCAGTTAGCCTGCTCAGTTCATCCATAGCCATGATGTAGAAACACTCACTGAATATGGTTCTCTGAACTTTGAGCGCTTTACCATCTCTCGTCAGGCAGAAGGCACATTTCCACTGACCGCTGCTACTGGACACACGAGCAAACTTTCTCAGGAATGCTCCTCCTATGATTCAGACAGAACAACAGAACATTGGTATGAACCCACAGGAAGCTGTTCACTGATAGAGAAAATATAAAAGAATCATTCATTAAGATTTCAGAACATCTATTCTCAGACTTCAAAAACAACAAGAGTGAAATTGTGCAGAAAATCAGCGATATGAGTCACGGACCAGATCAGCCATCAATGGGGCTATGTGCCACCTGAAGCTGGCAGCAGGTGGCAGCACATCACCATCGGTTAGACCAGTGGTTCCCAAACTTTTTTTGCTGGGCCCCCCCTTTGTTTTACAAGAAAGATGCTATTTTACATGTAGTTGTTTTTTTCCTGTGTAATAATATTCAACATTTCTATTAATACATTTTTTTTAAAAAAATGCCTCTGTGCAAAATGGGTTTAAAAACAAACAACTGTTGGATACCGTTTGTCCGTGATAGACAGGGGGAACAAATTACGGCAGGGTTAGCCTGATATTATTTGTATCCCACTGTAACTTTACTGTATAAAGAGCTAACATCTCCAAAATGTCAGGAGTAGTTAGTCATTACAAGAAGTGTTTGTGAACTAAAAATCAAGAATGTGGGATACTGTTTGTCCGTGATTTGAAGAGCCCGACGTTTGCTACCAACGCAGGGGAAACAAATTCTGTCGGGGATACCTACTTTGGCACGACACCGGGCTGATTTGGGTTTCTCCTCTGCTACAATAAAACTTGCTTTCACAACAGCTTCACTTTGTGATTTTGCTCTGGTGAAAAACGTCTGCTGAAATGTCAGATTCTTCTTTAGCTCTTCTACCTTCTGTAGTTTATGCATTTAGGTTTTTCAGCTAATCCTGATGTTTTGTCTCGTAGTGCCGTCTTAAATTAAATTCCTTAATTACAGCCACATTAGCTCCACTAATAAGACACACGGGTTTACCAGCAATGTCTGTTTAACCTATATTCAATCACCCACTGGCACTGAAAGGCTCTGCTTTCAGAATCAACTTTTCTCTCCACCATCGTGAGCGGCTAGCTGCGCAATAACAGAAGTTTGACTTGATTGACGCGGGAATGTTCCCAGTTAGCCTAGCGTTCAGCAAGGAGGCTGCAGCGCTGCATTATGGGATCTGTTGTTTGTATATTATTAGCGCCTCATATCGCCGGGCCATGCATAACAATAATAATAAATCTATATAAAATTATCTCGCGGGCCGGATATAAATGTACGCTGGGCCGGATGTGGCCCGCAGGCCTTGACTTTGACACGTGATCTACAGCAATGACATCATAATGTTATTAGGATTGGAAATGCGTAGTTGGATGGTAACAAAGAACTGGGGGGATTGTACTACCAGAAGGCAACACTGCAGACATCGAAGATAGCTACCTTGGAATCCCACAGGCAAATGGGACCCATGAAGAAGCCGCTAGGAAAGCCACAACCACCAAATACATCCAGAGAGTAAGGTGTTCTGAGGAGTCAGCTGAACAGGAAGAACAAGATCCGCGCTATCAACAACTACGCAGTAACGGTCATCAGATACCCTGTTGGGATCATCAGCTGGCCAACGGAGGAGACAGAAGACACTGACATCAAGACAAGAAAACTCCTTTCCATGCATGGAAGGTTTTTAAGTCCATCACCCTGAGCCTGCTATTCAGACTGTAACAACAAAGATCCAAGAGTATATCACAAAGACCCCCAACTGACCATGTGCTTAGTGAATATCTCAGACAGCTGAAATCCAAGAAAGAAGAGGAGCAAAAAGAGAAACCATCATGTAAAGACAGCCCCTGTAAGGCATGTACCACTGGCAGAAGAATTGGCTGATATCAATATACTACCAATGGTTTGACAATCATGACATCACAGGAACAAGCTCTAAGCACACGATCAGTAGAGTCACAGAGAAATTTCTGCCTGTATGTGCAACATACCTTTATTTACCAACATACCTGTAGTGCATTTATGCTCATGCTAGTGTGCTGAATCGGTTTAATTTTGTCCTTTCACAAAGTCCTAAACAGTGGCATCATCATACATCTGCTACACTACACTGTCATGATCCCGGGATCTGTGGATTTTCTTGTAGAATTTCATAAAGTGTGTTTAGCTTGTTTTATATTCTTTAATTCTAGTTTCTATTTTGACTCTTCTTGGGTTCTGTATTTTAGTGAATTAGATCTGGGTTGTAGCTCTGTTTACTCAGTTTTCTAGCCCTTTGTGATTCTCTCTGTGTCCCTTTGTATTTTGTGTTGCTTTGTGCTTTAGACTTTGTATTTACTTTTATGGATTTTTACAACTCATTAAACAGCTTGTCTCCTGAGTCAGCATTCGAGTCCTTAGCCTGCAAATAGTGACAATAACAAGCCAGATGGTCTCTCACTTCATCAGGTCAGAGGATGTGTTTTCCAAAAAGAATTTCAACTGATCTGAAATGAACAGTTTTCCACTTTTCCTCAGTCCATTTCAAATAATCTTTGGCCAAGAGAAGAAGGTAGCTTCCTCTTTGTGTTATAGAGCTTTAAACTTTAATCTTTAACTTTAATCAGGAAGTGTTCCCGATCCTATGCAGTGATTCCTGTGACAGAATCATGCCTAGTTTTACTGCAGTGCCACCTGAGGGTCCAAATATCACAGACATTCAACTCGGGAACAGAGATTTCTCAACATTAGCTGACTCTTTTGTTGATAAGGAACTATAGATGATGAGATATTTTTGCCATTTTACGTTGAGGAACATTATTCTGGACTAATTTCACAATTTATCCGGTTGTTCAGTCTGACGTCACTAGCCGTGTCTGGACCTAAACTCCGCTGCAGGTCCATATATCAAACGATCACTATGGCATTACTGAGAATTGAAAAACTGTCTAAAGTCTTTCATCTTTAATAAAATGATCAGCGTTCTGCTCTACCAGGTGTAACAATTGAGTTTAACATCCAGGCATCCATGAAAACGGAATTTATGACATTTAACGGAGTTAGAAGTTAGCAGGGAGTTAGTTCGCTAGCTTCTATCTAAATACAATATAGCATGTCCTGACTGCGGGGTTTTGGAAACAAATTAAAACGTACAGCTCTGCTATCACTTCCAGCATAAATGAAGACAGAAAACTAAAAAGTAGTGACGTTTGTAGGGTTACTGAAGTTGGGCTAGCTGGTATATAATGATGTGCTACGTGACCGCTAGCGACACAGCTATGTTAGCATAATATAAACAAGCTAACTTTTTTTCCCACTCGATAAAAGTTAACGTGAGTGTTCTCGGTCGTCAGGAACAAATGTAATCGCATGGCAGGATGCTGTAAAAGGACTAAACTTCATATACTGCTGCATGGGCTGGGCTGTAGTTACATCCTAAGGTTTTAAAAACTGAGCTTAAATAAATGATTAGCGGTAATAAAAGCCGAGGAAGGTCAACAGTGATCACTGAGTGTTTTAGGAGCTTTTTGAGATCAAATAGAAGAAAATACAAAACATTAAACATGTTAACAACACAAAAGCCATATTAAACGCAGACTACTTTAGGCCCGGAAGTAGGATTCGTCGCGTCATCACTGAACAACCGGATAGACAGTTTTTTCCTTTGAAATTCTCTACTGTGGCAACATCACTAACTTGTATAAAGAAATGAAAGCTTTATCCCAGAACAAGCAGCAAAAGATAAAAGAAAGGAAATCACTCAGACGGACTTACACCCTCATGGCATCATATCACCCCAAATAGAGCACTTCGCTCTCACACTGCTAGGCTACTTGTGGTTCCCAGGATATTAAAAAGTACAATGGGAGGCAGAGCCTTCAGCTTTCAGGCCCCTCATCTGTTGAAGAGGCTCCAAGCTTGGATTTGGGAGACAGATACCCTCACTACTTTTAAGATTAGGCTTAAAGCATTCCTTTTTGACAAAGCTTATAGTTAGGGCTGGATCAGGTGACCCTGAATCCTCCCTTACTTATTCTGCAATAGACTTGGACTGCAGGGGGCTTCTCATGATGTACTGGGCATTTCTCCTTCTCTCACTCCTTTTTATTCACCATTTGTTTATACACCCCCTCTGCATTTAATTACGAGTTATTATTAATCTTTGGCTCTCTTCCACAGCATGTCTTATGTCTTGTCTTCCTCCCTTCACCCCCAACCGGTTACAGCAGAAGACTGCCCCTTCCTGAGCCCGGTTCTGCTCCTAAAAGGGAGTTTTTCTTTCCCACTTCTGCCTAATTGCTTGTTCATAAGGGGTTTCTCTGTACTATTGTAGGGTCCTCACCTTACAATATTAAACATCTTGTTGTTGCGGTGATTTTGCGCTATATAAGTAAAATTGAATTGAACTGAACTGAATTGAATGTCCAAGAGACCAGTGATGAAATCACTCTGGTGCCCAAGGAGGCAGCCAGTGACAATGGAGGAGCACCTCAGGAGGTTTGGCTGGAGGTCAGCAGCACCTGAGGTGAAGAAAACCATTTGGAGGCTGTTGGCGACAGAGAGTACAGAGTACCTCTGGTGCCTTTGCTGGAGGCCAGTGACAAAGGCCATGGAAACCCTCTGGAGGCCAGTAATGAAGGAAACTCTCTAAAGGCTGGGGGAGGCGTAGGCGACAGGATACCGCTAGTTATTTGTCTGGGGGCTAGTGATGATGGAGGAGATGGATCTCCTCAGGAGGCCCAGCAAGGCACCCCCTGTGAAGACTGAGACCCTCATGCACTTGAGACTTTGAAGTGTTGGGGATCCGTGGCAGCGTAGAATGTTGAATCGTAGAATGCCTAGACTTGGGGTTCACTAAAATCTCAGGACTCTAAGAAGATGCAGGAAGCTCAGGATTCTCAGGATATGCAGGATATCATAAAGCTTAGGCTGTGCAAGGCTCACAAAGTACTTTGAAGGCTCACAAAGTACTTTGAAGGCTCACAAAGTACTTTGAAGGCTGGGTGAGGCTGAGCTTGGAAGCAGCTCTGGTGGGGGTAAGCCCAACAAAAGGGAAATAAGTTTGTTCAAGATGGAAAAAGTCTTTGGGCTGGGGAAAGCGTTTCTGCCTCCAAAAGCCAAGTTTATCTCCCTTAAAAGTTACAGAGCTGGTGAGTGGGTGGCCAGTGTGCAATCTCTGCACAGAAAGGGCCCAGCAAGGTGGTGAAGTCGAACTCAGGACCAGGACTAACCATCACACCATCGTGCTACCCTTTATATAGATAGCTTCTCTAAACTGATTTGAGAAGATAATAATTTGTTATTATTGGGAGCTATCATGTCAGAATGCTCCCTAACTGCCGATATTTTTCACCTTTTTAATGTGCTTACAATCTCCCTGCAAGCTTGTGATGATCCTCAGATCCAGTTCACAAAACAGCTCCAATCACATAACAGGGCAGTCGCATCATTTCAGAGAAACGAGGTCTTGCTTATCTTTGGGCTTCAACATGGGCTTCGTTTGGACACGCCCCCTTTGTTCAACAGAGGCCTTGGTGCTTCAGTGTTAGAAGTAACATCCACTAATCACAGGTCATACTTTATACCTTGTTGCCTATAACAGCGGTCCCCAACCCCCGGGCCTCGGATCAGTACCGGTCCATGAGTCGTTTGGTACCGGGCCGCGAGAGTAGAGGCTCATGTGTGAAATGTATAGTTTTCAGGGTTTTTATCGGTCTGCAGCATTATTTTGTTATCGTTTTTACCGTTAACTCGGTTTTCCTGGGTCTTTTCACGTGTGTTATGAATAAATCTTTTTTTCTGTACCGGTACTAGTTTTATTTTGTTGTATCTATCCGCGACACCTTAAAGGCCGGTCCGTGAAAATATTGTCAGGCATAAACCGGTCCGTGGTGCCAAAAAGGTTGGGGACCGCTGGCCTAGAATGTTAAAAAAACAAACTCATAAAAGCAGAAATAAATTGATTGCTAAGATATGAGACCTTTCAAGTCAGTCAAGTCAATGATTAACATTTATCGTTTGTGATATAAATACACAGTAAATGCATATTAAAAAAGATGCAAGAAACCTTTATTATGTGCTGCTCTCGGTAACAGCGACTGGACGCTGTCATTTCTGAGAAAAACACAATGCTCATGATACAGAGCTGTATAGTCAAGCATTACATTCACACTCACCAACTGTTGCTGCTTCAAGGATTTCAGGCTTGTGGAAGCGATCCATGGTTCGGTACAAGCGACAATACATCCACACCTGTGAGACACATATATAGCAAAATCTTCACACTGAACAACCTAATGTAACAGCAGATTATTACAATCACTGTCGAGGTTCACCTGTCTACCCTGCAGCCAGACATATTTCAGCTCATCATAGATCTTCCCATCCTTTCCAATACACGTGAAGAAGCCTCTAAAATAGAAAGCAAAAGAACTCATTACAAGGATTTGGACAATATAGCAGTACAAACATATTCCAGTGTAAAGGCAGTACCCATGTACTCTGTCAAGAGAGTATTTGAGCCAGAAGTCCACTACATTGTCCAACTGTTTCCGAATGTCCTCTCGACACTTTTCAAGCGTCACCACTGACATTGTTCCTGTTCAAAAAGAACACTAAAATTAGTTTGTGAAAAAAATTTATGGATTCTTGGTTTATAGTTATATGTTTAAAGTGTAAAGGTGGTACTGAAACTGTAGAATTATGCAAATATGTCTGTATTTAAATCTGCAAAAATATTGTGACTGTAATAATATGACTGTAATTGACATTTTTTAGAAGTTGGAATAGGTTTTAGGTAGGATAACAGAAAAGTGAAACAAGGGCAACACAAGCTTGTAAAAGTGGTGCAATTTAAAAACAAAGGTGGAAAATCCTAAATAAATCTGATTATTTAGTACATGACTGGGTGTAAAAAGTGTACCACTGAGAGGCTGACTTGGGACAAAAATGGGGAAGGGCTCATGACTGTTGTGAAAGACTGCATGGACCAACCGTTCAAGAAACTTGAAATAACATTTTTGAAAATAACATTAGAGGAAGTCAGTGTCTTTGAAACACACACACACAGTCCAGATAAATCTCTGTATATAAGAGACAAAGCTGGAAACAAATACAGAATATTCACCTATAAAAAACAAACATGATTCTCTCGTGGGGTTTGCTGCTCAGTGATTTTTCAGAGAGAAAAGAAATTGTTGCAGCTTCCACATAATTAAGTAAAAAGTGTAAAGAAAGTTATATCCTTTGTAAGTGAAACTGTCTGCTTTGCAACCACTGCACCAGATTCATGCTTTGGCAGGTAACTCTGTTCTCCAAATGGAATTCTTTTTGCTTGAACCAACCTGACTGAAAACCGTTTGGAGGTTGGTCGCTGCTATTAAACTAATGCCCAAACATAATCTTACCAATATACCAGCATAACATCACGGGTGGATGTAGTTCAGCTCATCTACTAATCAGAGGGTTGGTGATTTAATGCCTGGCTGCTTCAGTCTGCACATCAAATATCCTTGGAGTATGAATGTGTGTGGATGGTAGATAGTAAGCACAGAAAGAACTTGTGTGACTGAGACAAGTTGTGTGAAGTGTTTTGAGTGCGCAGAGTAGAAAAGTACTATACAAGAACCAGTCCACTTACCATCATGCTACTTAACCAGACAAAAGAACTAACACTTACAGGTTCATTACTGCATGACTCAATCACAAGAAACTGCATTACTTTTGCAACCACTCCATTAGGAATGCCAACTGTCCATACTGAGCGTATCACCCCTGACACAAAGTTGCTTTGGGTGTACTTGATTATTGTGTATTGTCTAGATCAGATGTTAAAAACCACTGGGTGTGCTGTGAGAGATCAGCAGATGTGCAGTGGGAAATTACAGTGGAACCGCGACTTACGAATACCCCATTTAACGAAAAATTTAAGTTACGAAGGCACTGAACGGCAATATTTTTGCCCGTGTTACGGCAAAATGCCCGTGTAACAAAATCCGCTGGCTCTGATTGGCTGAGCCCACAATGCCTTCCGAATCATGTGACAACCCCCTTAGCTTTCGTACTTGCGCTTCGCTGTTCCACTTGAACGACGCATTGTTGTTGCAGATAGCAATTAGCCTATAGGAGGAGTCATGTCATATAGAGGAACAAACAGTACTCCAAGAACAGACAAAGCCCAGCAGAAACCTTGAAGAGGAGCCTCATCTGCCCCCACCCCCGAAGAGCTTCAGAAAGGAGAGAGATCAGAGGCAAGAAGAGGGGTCCCTATTTGCCTCCAACTCTCAACAACACCAACGACCAGGACCAGGGACCACGACCTTCCCCAGTCCCCCAAACCCCTGACACGCCATCACCCTCCTCCCCCTCCCAACACCTGAAATTCACTGAGGAGATGATGGAGCGGGTCAATGCTGGGCTCAGATCTACCCCCGTCCCAATCCCTTTTTGTCCCCCATAAACCCCCCACCAGAGCAGCCAAAGGTTCGCCATCGAGCCCCACCCTCAACAGAGCAATCGAAGTCACATTGCCCAGCCTCATCCCCCTTAGTTCCTCCTTACCACCTTCATGCCCTGTCTCCGCAGTCTGATGTGTGATGTGTGGAGGGTCCAGGCTGCGAGGATTATGGCAGTGGTGACTTTTCCCAGGAGAAGCTGGGACCCTGTTTACTAGAAGGTTTTAAAATTTCTGTACTTTTAGGTGACAGAAGGAGACATGTGGCCTGGTCAAAACACAGAGAGCTGCACCCTAAAAGATCTTTAAATATATTAAACATAGCTTGTGTGCCACAGACTGCTCCCAAACACGAGGGGGGCAAATAATACCTCTAAAACACTTAAGTTGGCTTTATTAAACGTTAGATCTTTAGCTGGGAAAACATTTTTAATTAATGATTTAATCACTGAGCACAGCCTTGATTTTATGTTTTTAACTGAAACTTGGTTGGACCAAAGTAACAGTGGAGCTGTTCTCATCGAGACGACCCCTCCTAACTACAGTTTTATCAGTAAGGCCAGGGTGAGCAGGAGAGGAGGGGGTTGCCGCCCAGGGTGAGGACAGCCAGGTCTCAACATCTGCCCCAGTCACCAGAGGAGGCAGCTGGGGGTGCCCAATTTGAGCTATGAGCGTGCTTGTTGCCAAAGGCAGCGATCTAATTGGTCAAATCTGTTTATTTGGATGCAAAACATCGGAAAAATTGAGCTTGGTTCGAAAAAATAAATGCAACGTCCATTAAATCCATGAAGAATCGGTGAGTCTGAAAAATATTTTTAAGACAATTTTTTTACCATGATGTACATTTGTTAAGCTAGCTGAAGATAAGCATAGAGAACATAGTCCACAGGCAAAAAGTGTCTCGAAACCTCACACATGTGACATCATCATGTCAAATATCTGTAGACATTTACACTCAGAGGAAGCTTTTTGAAAGTAAAAATGATCACATTTGTAAAGTTACACATTAAAAATTGTGTGTAAAGAGGGACTTTTTTGTTGAAATCGGTGTATATTTTTGTGTAAATTAAAATTCCTTTGTCTGATGTGAATCATAACTTATTATCATAGTTTATATCACATACATTTGTGAGGTTTTTGAATTTAACCTCTCTCCATAGGGGCTTTAGTTTTCCCATAATAACACCACTTACTTATTATTATATGACCAAAGGCTATTAGAGAGATAACTTTATGCCACAATAGCCAACAATAACACTGTCATCTTACATTTAAACTAGCTCATGCAAAAAAAGCAATATTAACTATACTAGCAAGGTATACTGTTTGGTTTAAAAACTATTAATTTCACCAAGGATTTCTAATTTCTTTTTCCCTGTGTTGCAAAAACAACAGAAAGTCATTTCCGTGCTGTCAGCCATGTAAAAAGGACAAACGGTGCCTTTGGTAGCCGTCTCAATGCGTTCATATTGAGAAAAGGACTAATAAAGCTGCCATTACCTTCAAGCTGAAATAGTGAAGAATAGTCTGTCCAGCTGCTCCGTTCGCTAGCTCTGTTAATCACATGATCAGATAAGGAAGTGGACAGCGGGTCACGCGGCCACTTGACTCGTCTTTTTTTTTTTTTTTTTTTTTTTTTTTTTTAAATCTTTTTTTTTTTTTTTTTTTTTTTTTTTTTAAGGGTCTCTCAAAGTAACTTCCAGGGGGGGGGGTTCGCTTGCCTTCGACTTCCTTTTGGAGTAACTGTTTGTCGGTACTTTTCAGGACATCAAAATCACGTTTCCTAATCAGACCTGCAGATTGTACAACCGCTTATTCCGCCATCTTGCCCCCCCCTCCGTGAGCCGTCATTTGGTTTTGTTGTTTTTTTTAAAATTTAGTTATATTTTGCACACATTTACAATCTCTCATTGGGAGACAACATTGGTGCAACAACATCTTGAAATGTTGAGTAAGAAAACAAAAGAAATAGGAGAAGACTAACAGAAAAACAAAAAACAAAATAAATATGTGTGAAGGCCATTCTTATGACATTTAACAATATCCTTTCCGTGAACATTTTAACATACATGCGGCTTACTTGGTACACCAAACGAAACAAAAGGATAGAAACTGGGTCCCATTTTCACATATCAAAGCAGCATCTTTACATGAATCCTTCAGTAATTCTAAAGATGACAAAAAAGACTTCAATTCAATCTTCAATGCACTTAGGAAAGGTCTTTTGTTTTGCCATTTACACTTATGAATGTGGTATTTGCCCATAATTATTACCATATTGTGGAGCATGGCAAGTTCCTTAGACGGATCGCCATTATTGTATAAAACCTGTGTTAGAGTCAGTGGGGTCATCCCATCTATTCTTACACTCAACCAGTC